TATATGTCTCGGTGTAGATTTTTTTGATCACAGCTAGTTGGAGTTCTATATGCCTCACTTATCTGTATGTCCAATTCTCTATTTCTGGGAAGTTTTCTACTATTACTTCTGTGAACAGATTTTTTATGTCATTTGAACTTTCTCCTCCTTTTCCATGGACTCCTATCAGTCTTATGTTATTCTTCTTTGCATCATCTAGCAGCTGCTGGATTGAATTCTCATGGTCCCTTACTATTTTGAAGAAATCTCTGTTTTCATGGACACTTAACTGCAATCCACTCTTCTATATCTGATATTCTATCTTCAAATTCACTCAATCAGCTGTGAATACTTTCAATGGAATTTTTAATCTCCTGAATATGTAATATATTAATAATATGTAATATATGAATATGTAATATATATGTAATTATATGCCTATATATTTAACATCATTTCACTCCATGTATAATCTTTTCTGCTTTTGTAACTTATTTTAAATTTTAATATCTAATAATCTCTGTGTAATTAAGGCCTCTAAGATTAACATGTACTCAGTATATGAGCACAAATATCACTGTCATTGTGTAGTTCTGGAAACTGAAATGGTGTGAATTTAATCAGTGAGCAACAGTAGCTGTTAGGTGTGTTCCTGTGAGCCATGTGGAGACCAAACCTTTCTGTGAGATAACAGGGGTTTAGAGTCACAGCTTCTTTGTCTCTCTCCTGATGTTTCCAGGTTTGCCATGTTCTTTAAAACTAAATTAATAATTTTCATGTTTGCCTCATATGTTATGCTTTTTACATACAACTGTGGCAAAGGAAAGAATTGACAATGAATTTACAATATGTGGTAGTCCTTAAGCTTAGAAAAAGAAGAAACATAAAAACCTCCTTATTTTAAAAAATATTTTATCTCTATACTTACATATCAGTTTAAAATTAAAATTTCTGTTTGATATTTTAAGATGATTTTATAATATACATCTCCATTTCCCAAGTAAGCTATTTCATTTAAACTTGTGTAAAAATTATTATGATCACTTTACTCCAAAAAGATGATTATAAAAATATCTACTTTTTGAAATTTAAGTTATTTTTATGTAAAAATTATTTCATCATTTTAGATGCCTAATGTGCAACATCTCTATTCTAAGGAATAGGTTTCATCACTGTTTTAATAATTTAAAACTGTTAATGAATTTACCGAAATATTTGAAAATATTGTGTATTATTCAAATTTTCAAATCAGTGACAAAATTATACCTTTACTTATATCAATATTAGTTCAAATCATTAATTCTTTTCCTATTATATTTATATTTTCTAAAATCTGTATTTTTAGTTTTTCCTGATTTTCTTTATTATCATGATTAAGAATTTAATAAATATTTTTGTTCAATATATTGCTTGGACTCTTCTCTCATTACATAGATATCTTAGCAATTTTTTTTCTGTCCCCAGTTATTTTTAAAGGAACAGCTTTAACTTATTTTCTTATATGTGATTTAGAAAAAATACTGTATCAATTTTTTGTTGAGGAAGTTTTTGTTAATAAGTATGCATGACTTTGTAGACAACATTTAAGTTAATAAACTTATTTAATTTTAATGAAAGCTAAATCACTTTATTACATAGGGAGGAAAGAATTTATATAGTTATTATGTGAGCATAATATGGCCTAGTGGGCTATCTATTGTAGTCTTTCAGATTAACCAGGGCAGCACATAGACTCTGGGCATCTATGCATCCAGAAGCCACTCCTGGGAACTGAGGCACTGGGGCCATGGTCCAGACTTGAGCATAGATTATGCAGACACAGCATTTTCCCCTCACCCTGGCTCCCAAGAGCAGAGGGGATGGGAGTAGCTGTGGTCCAGGCTCCCCAAGGACAAACCTGGAAGAGGACAGAGGTCACCACAGAAGGCAGAGCTCAGCTCCAGATGGCAGGGAATGGCCTCTCCCACCAGGACAGAGGCTGAGAAGGAGACATAGGAAAGACAACATGATTTCCGTGTTGCTCCTTCTATTAGGCCCTGTCCCACAGTGGAATTCTACAGGAAATACTGGTCTCCAGTCCAGATGCCCCCACAAGGAGGCAGAATCATTGTGTGTGTGTGTGTGTGTGTGTGTAATTGTGTAAGAATTAAGGCTATTGCTTTTGCTCCTATAGGGTATCACCTTGTTTTGTTTGGTTCTCCCATTCTCCCATACCTAGGTTTGTTTCATGTGGTTTTCTGTCATTCTATTAGATACACATACCTGGTAGTTTAGTAATTGGGTTCAAACTCCCTATAAATTTTCTAACATTCCAATTATACTTCCTCCCCTTCCTATTTTATTCTTTCTCTTCTCATACTGACTTGTAGATATCCAGGCCTGCAGGCAGGGAGAGAAAGGAAAAAGGGCTGTATTAGGCTTTATTAGAGAAATTAGTAGGGAATCTTACTCAAAGTGGCTTTGCCCTCTGTAGTTAGATTCACTGGCTAATCCTGGGCTGAAATGTCACAACTTTACTGGAGGAATTTCTTAGGAGGGACTGAAAGGACACAGGTAGAGAAGGAGAGAGAATGCAGACCTATAAAGGCACCAGGGAGCACAATGAGAATAAGAATTTACAGCTAAGGATGGAATGCTCTATAAGGAAGAGACTGATCAGAGAAGGCACTGACAGGCAAAGGAGGAAGCCAGAGAAGGAGAGCCCACACTTTCAGTAAAATAAAGAGGGGACATGGATGGGGCAGCTACCTAAATTAAGAGAAAACAGTTCTTTAGTTTATAAAATATAAGCATACATATATTCCCTCTAGGGTCACTGTGTTATCACACTAGGTACACACACATCCCCTCACTAACTCTAAAAGCTCCCCTGCAAGCCCACACCTTCTTATACGTCACAAAGTGTAGGAAGGACTCAAAGAAAGCCTCCCAAAAGAAGAATGTATTTAGGCAAGGGTGCCTGGCTCAGGATCCTGGGACATGGGATCCAGCCAAAGACAGGGTAGGAAACAGAGTGTGCCTTGCCCGGGTGCTGTGACCTGGGATGGAGGGTCCCTACCCTTAAGAGGCCCAGGGACAGAGGCCTGTACCCGTCCATCTTTTTCTAGACCCTATGTTCTCTCCAGGGCAGCTCATTTCTGTCTGCTTTTTTTCTTCCTTTCCATGAATAAAGCATCTTTCTTTCTTAAACTTCTTGTCTCTAATTCTTTATTGGTGCTATTTGTCATCAGGATGGCTGCTCACCCTGGCTGTGATACTCTTATGATAGAATCATGCTTTTATTTACAATGTATTTCCTGATGAAAATTTTATCATTCCATCAGTGATAATGTCAGTGATAAAATAAATATGTGCTGGAAATTTCATCTGTACTCAGCAACAACAAAAACACAACACAACAAAACAAACAAAACACAATCCTGACATACTATTGAATGTAAAAATTATTCTTTGCAAATTGAATTAACTCTGTGACAAATTAAAAGTAAATAAATAAGATTTAGCTACATCTCAGAGTATAATAAGGTAATGTGTTTCTGCTCTCCTATGTGAAACTTGTAAGGAAGAGGGGAAACTTCCTAGGGAAAAAGGGGAAATTCCTTGCTCATTTTCTCTTAGAAGATTAGTCCTTGGCCTTGTGCCCAGTGTTTGTCCTTGGATTTGGGCCCAGAGGGTGACCACGTGCTGCAGGACCCTGTGTGCTCCTTGATGGGGCCTGGAAGCACCAGGCAGGGAAGCAGGGTGTACAGTGCTCTGGTTAAATGCACGCTTCCTCACTGGGACTCTTTCAGAGGAGACTTCCTGGCTAAGTGTCCATTTGATCAAGGGCTGAGCAAATCTGCTAGAGTGATTTAATTTACCTCTGAACTAAAAAGAAGAATGCACAAAAATAACAGTGAATAGTATAAAAAATATAAAAATTATTCATATCAAGGAAAGGAAATATCATACAAAGTCTGAGGTACTTATATTATCATGTTTTCCTTCAGAAAAAAATTTGTAATTTTCAAATTTCTAGATAGACAGTATGGGAACAAGTTGTTTTCATCAACCTTGACTCACACTAAGTATCATGCTTAAAATTGGAGTGTTTTAGAAAAGATGAAATGGGCATTTTTAACATAAAATATGCATATGCATACATTTAAAACTTATCAAAGTAATATTAATATATTTAAAGGAAGAACAAACAGATGAGAGAATTGTAATCAGCACTGCAAAAAGTACCCTTAAAGCTTAGGGTTTTTTCTCTTTTACAGAAAAGCGGTTCCCTAAGGCCAAAGGCATAAAGAGCCTGTCTCGGGAATGTGAAGCAACAGCCTATGTTCAACAATATTTTAATGTTTAAAAAGTTATTTACATTCTAAGTTTTGATAGATATACTCAGAAATTCTATGCTATATGCAGTATATAATCTTAGTGGGCCTCACCTCAATATCCTAAAATGTGAAATCGATTTGTAATTAATACTCAGAAACACTGGGAACTAAAAGAGAATAAAAGGTAAACTGAAGATATTTGCCGTATAGTTCATTACATATACTTGCTTAAGTTGGCAAAAACAAGTTATAAACAGAAGTGTCCAATTTTTTAGATTCTCTCAGGAGGCAAAATATCTTGGTAGAATTCCAGTGATAAGAGGTAACTGCTCTGGCTTCACAAAAGTTCTTTTCTATGTCCTTCCTGTGATCTCAAAATCTGTGAATAACAGTGACTATGGCATAAACCTTATATGGGAATTAAATATGTTAAGAAAGAAAACATTTAGTATGTATCATATTCAAGCTAATTCCATGGGATGTAACTTTTTATCATTTCAGAAGCAAATGTCAATTCATACCATATCCTTCTCTATCTGACATTTGAATTGTTTTGTCTATATTCACCAAAGTTTTTGTCAATTCTCAGGAAGAGTAAACAAATTAAAATAAATTCTGGTGCATTCATAAAAACAAAACCTGTTTTTAGTTACTCAACCTAAGTATGGAATTTGATTTCTCAATAGTTTAAAACGTTCCACCATGGGTAGATGGAACTCCACCAGTGTGCCTGGCTTCATCCTTATGGGGCTGACGGACTCTGCAGAGACACAGCTGGTCCTCTCCATGCTCTTTCTCCTGATTTACCTGATCACGGTGCTGGGGAATATGGGGATGATACTGATCCTTCGCCTGGATCCCCGGCTTCACACCCCCATGTACTTTTTTCTCACACACCTGTCATTTCTCGACTTCAGCTACTCAAGTGTCTTCACCCCTAAAACCTTACAGAGCTTACTGACTTCTACCAAGAGCATCTCCTTCCTGGGCTGCTTCATCCAGATGTTCTTTTTCATCCTCTTGGCTGCCACTGAATGTTTTCTTCTCTCCTCAATGGCCTATGATCGCTATGTTGCCATCTCTTGCCCTCTGCACTATCAACTCATTATGTCCACAAGACTGTGTCATGCCCTGCTTGCTGGGTCCTATGTTATTGGCTTTGTGGATTCCATTGTCAATGTGATTTGTATAAGCAGATTGCACTTCTGCAAGTCTAATGTCATACAGCACTTTTTCTGTGACACATCCCCAATTTTAACCCTGTCTTGCAGTGACACATTTGTGGTTGAACTCATTTTATTCATTTGTGCTGGCTCCACCATAGTGTTGTCCCTCAGCATCATATCAGGATCCTATCTGTCCATCCTCTCCACTATCCTGAAAATTAATTCCACTGCTGGAAAGAAGAAAGCCTTCTCCACTTGTGCCTCCCACCTTATGGGAGTCATCATCTTCTACAGCACTATGATCTTTACTTATCTAAAACCCAAGACATCCTACTCCTTGGGAAAGGACCAGGTGGCTTCTGTGTTTTACACAATTGTGATCCCCATGCTGAACCCTCTCATTTACAGTCTCAGAAACAAAGAGGTGAAAAGTGCTGTGGTTAGAATCACAAAAAGAGAGAGCTGCAGGCAGTTGATATCACAGTGGTGCTAAGCATTTCCACTTGTCTTTTCCTTGTTTAAAGGAGAAATTAGTCTGTTTTTGAACCAAAACTTCTGTGTATTTTTACTTTTTTTTTTCTCTGTAGCTTTCTTTCCTTAGCAAATATGATAGTGGAAATTTCCAGGAAGAGATTTTTAGACATTTACCTTTCACCTGACAGTCTTGAAATATGTGCTAATCTGTAGGTAAGTACCTGTGACTTTAAGGACAACTAATTTACAAAACATGTAAATATGTTTGTCATATTGAAAATGACATCATACAATGTTCAGGCATGCTCTAATTTTAGAGAATTTTATATTAGTCATTCTGCTTATAATAGAGATTAAAACTACAATGTTTTGAGAAATGTCTTTAAAATCAAGATTCAGGCATTTATATCCTTGTACCACCAACTTTCCAATGTACAACACAAATTAATTCACTGAAATTCTAAAAGTCAGTATTGTGAACAGCACAAGATATTTAATAATTCCATGTGTGTCTGATCACAAGGTGGTTGTAAAACATTGAGGGCAGTAACAATGAATACTGGCAATCATCTGATGCCTTGAATTACTATGATATTTAATACATAATACATTTTTGAATAATATTTCTTCATGTTTTATGAATTTCTGTTAATTTAATGTATAACATAACATCTATAAAAGAAAAAACTGAAACCAGGAGTTCCCAATTTTGGATTCAGAATAAAGTTGAATACTGAATTAGATTGAAGTTATAGGAAAGTAATGTGTCCTAATCTTGAAGACAATTTGGAAAATGAAAATTACTACAGAAAAGAAAAGTTTTGTAATAATGATTGACAGTCCTGTGCCTGTTCTTACAGATCAGAGGTTATGAATTTATGTCTATGTATTTAATAATTTTTCTATAATTTCTTGTATAATATATGCTGCTGATTTATTTTAAAAATTTATATCTAATAATCTGTAATGTAAGATTAACATGTTTTCAGTATATGAGCAATGTTCAGAGTCTTATTCCAAGCATATTTATATGTTTATAAGAAGTGTTTTTCTTCTTACATTCATTTTATGTATTTACATGAGTTAGAAAATTTATACTATTAATTTTTGTTAGCAAACCTGTCAATAGAATCTCTGACTTGGAAAACAATATTTAAATTGAAGAAATTCCTAAATTTTAATTAAATTAGTGCCATTAGATGTTCTTTATTACATAGGGTATGAAGCATTTAAGTCATGTTATTAAATAACCATACTATAATCTCTTGGCCATAAGAAACATTTAAACTATTTGAATCTGCACAATCATTTGCTTCTCATATCACTACATAGCTCATATACTGTAAGTTATCTCTCTGAAATAATGTAAGATCTCATGCCCTCTTTCATAGTCCCAGGTCAGTGTGCTATGGAATATAAATATAATTTTTAAAACACCGCAATGCAGCACAACAAAGTATGAACACCTCATTTTGCTTCCCAGTGATTAATAGCTAGACAATAACACTATTATACTTTACTAAAACAGACATTATTGAAATATTGAAACATGTGCATTGTTCAATGTTTTGTACAGTTTCTAATAAAAGACACTGTGCTTGGCATTGGGGGCTAAAGCTTCAAAGGCACAAGTATAAACTAGATACAGAAAATGATTTGGTAAAGGAAAGAATAAATTACCAGATGGTGGATGAATATGGGCACGGTGATTGTATTAGCAAACAGTTTTCCTAGTGTGATAAAACATTGAGGAATAGACTCACTCAAAAGAAAATAATATTCATGGTTATCACCTGAATTTATCGGTGTTTCACACTCACCCTGTTGCTCAGAATACTTTTGGTTTGGCTGTTTTTGGCAGATAACTCAGTGCTCAGGTCCTCCTACCTTTTGATTTTGTTATTTTGTTCCACATAGTCAGAGGGAGTTCATCCAATATTCACTGTGAAGTACAGATGAGAATTTGCTTCACAAAGGAAAAAAATCTTTGCATAGATTTTGTTCATATGAATGTTTTTCATAAAATACTTTATTAGATAATTACTCATATTATGTATTTCTTCTACTGTACCTTTAAAGAACTTTGATTTTTAATCATCAAATTCATCAGCAGAATATTTTAATAATATATTTTATTTTCTATGTTAATTTTTGTGAGGTCTTAATGATATCTTTATTTTATTCTTATATTCTTTTTATTGCTCTCCATGCAGTAATCTTTGTTTTTTTCCCCATATTATACTAATTTCTACTGAATATATATCTATGTATAACTTTTCTTTTTTGGTGCTGGGGATTGAACCCAGGTCATGAAAAATAATAGGCAAACACTGTACCATTAAGCTACCTATCCAGCCCTTATTAAACAATCAGCAATAAAAGGCCCCTTTAATAATATTGACCAATTTTACCTGTTTGTTATTTTTCTCATACATGCTATTTTTATATGCAGTGTTAATTCATAAAGAAATAGTATAACTTCCCTTAAGTCATTTAGTTTTAAAGTATTTGAAATTAAAATTTCCAATATTTTCCACATTTCATTTATGTTATTACATTTGTCATTTCTCTTCTGCAAAGACTCAAGTGTCCTTCATAGTTATCCTTCCCAGGATCCTTTGAACTGCTTAACAATGGTTTCCTAAATTTCTTATTGTTAAAAAAATTGTTCACATCTATATCCTCACAATTTTTTCCTGTTCCATTACTGCTTTATGTTAGACAATTTGATAGTGCCCTGAAGTAACTTTATGCTTTTATTCATTCCACTTTCTTAACATTAATTCTCCTTAGAAAGGTTCTGCTATTTCTTTTTCAATTTCATGATTTTGTCTTAATCTGCAGTGACTCCATTGAAGACCCTGTTGTAGGATTCCATGCATATGGTTTTGTGTGTGAGTGTGTGCATGTGTGTGTGTATCCATGTGTTTTTCCAGTATGATGCCAAAGACTCTCTGTAACTTCCATCTTCCTAGTATAAATTCTGACAAATTCATGCATGTTGCTTCCACTCGTGACTATTTATTCAAATATCTCTAGAACCCTTTAGACAATTACTACCAGGAATGCTGTAATTGAACAAGTTGATCACATTAGTTATTCTTATATATGTTTGATAGTGATGAACAGAGAAGACTTGGAGAGATAATATAATATCTTTCAATTACAGGTCCACTGGTTTTCATATCTTCTCAAGGTTGGCTTTAACTATGGTTTAATATGTAGCTGAGATTCCTCCATGCTTCCAGTGGTTACATCTTGCTTCCAAACTTTTCAGAAAGTGAGCAATTTCATGGGTTCCACATATTCTTGGAAGAATCTTGTCTTTGGAATTTAAATTATGTGAAAGAATGTGAATTCAAACTTTGGAAAGAGTCACTAAAAATTATAATTTTGTAGATGAACTGGATTTTTAAACAAGAGTAGAGGAAATTTTATTGTAGGTTGTTACAACATACATGCAAATGGAACCTCTCTTATCCATTTTATTACTTGGAGAAGCTTTTCTATGTATGACACCACATTTACCAGTGCACTATCAATTTCTGGAATTGTAAATGCCATTTTCTATATGTACTTCCCAAGTGAGCACAGTTCAGCCCTTTTCTAGGTGATCCTATCCATGCTGTCCTTATGATGCTGCATTGTTTTTTTGGTCATTCCTTGTTTTATTCATTCTTTCATGTTTTCTCCACCCTTCCTTCCTCTCTATCTCCCTGTTTTCCCTGTTCCTTGCTATCTTCCTTCTTTCCTTCCCTCCCTCCTTCTCTCCCTCTCTGCTTCTCTCCTTCCTTCCTTCCTTCCTTTTTCTTATATTTTTGGGCTATATGCTATTAACTCAAGCCAAAATATTCAATGTCCTAATGACAGCAAGGACTTATCAAACCCAGTGGAAATCATTTCTGCAAAGTATTTTACATATATTAATTTTCTGTCTTATTTCTCTCACTGAGTTAATAAAGATCTTCAATACTAAAGTGAAGCTATCAGGCAAGTCCTTCATTTCTTTATGCAAAGTAAACTTAAAATCCTGAGCTCTGTTGCTAAACATTTTAACTTATAATTTGGACATCATTCTATAGAGCTATGTGGCATTGAGCCCAGCATTTAAAATTTTTGTATAGGTTTTTCTCATTTTGGATACAATTAAATAGTACAAAAATTTCATGGATATAAAATGACAGAATGTACATGCATTAATAAAATTGTACAATGGCTCATAAGCTGCATAGATATGCACATTATTACTGTGGCAAGGGAGGAAATTTTCCTCATAGTTTTAAGATTTCTGGCTAGATGTGAAAATGTTAAGGCAAAGATGATTTAAGTATGGTGAGCATGCAAATTTATTCCATAAAATTTTGCATGACAATAGGCTAGAAAATGGACAGACTAAGGCAAACATAACTCACAACTCATTTCAGTGTATTTTTAATTGGCACATATAAATACTGATCATTTTAATTACCTTAGACCTCCTTCCCTCTCCTTTTTCTATTTTCTGTACCAAAGATGGAACTCAGGACCTTGCACTTGTGAGGCAGGTATGGCACTACTGATAAATCCCCAGCACTGCCCTCTCCTTTCTTACCTCTCCCTGGTACCCAGTCCCATCACCAAACAAACAAAAAAATCTTTTTTATTATTTCATATTCTTTCTCTCTCCTCTCTCTATCTGTCAATGTTTCTCTGTCTCCTCTCTGTCTCTCTCTCTCTCCCTGTCCATCTGAGACAGGGTCTCACTACATATTGTAGTTTAGGCTGTGAACTTACGATGTAAGCTACCAGTGATGACCCTCCTACCCCAGATTCCTCTGTGGTTAGATTACAGACTAACGTCTCCTACCTCTATGTCACCTATCTCTATGATGCCTACCTCTGTGTTTTCTTCCTCTTTTGTTTTAAGACAGGGAGAGCATTTGACAAAATGTCTTGCTCTGTCATCCAGTCCCACTTCAAACCTCAGATATCCTCCTGCCTTAGTTTCCCATATGCTGTGATTACAGAAATGCACCACTC